AGAACGGCCACAGAGATGCCCCTCACTGCCCACACGCTATGTAAGCTCAGCACCTGCGCTATGGACTCTGCGAAACCAGTGATGTACATCGCTCCAGCCACACACTGCCAACAAGACACATGACTGTCACCCAAACCTCAAAACAGTTAACTGATCACACACTGTATATGCAATATAATTATTGTAGACATGAGCTGCTCACCTGCCCAAACACATACAAGAGTCCCACAGTTCCTCCAACTCTCCCTCCTAGCACAGTGGAGATCATGGAGTAGACCCCACCGTTACCCACACTGCAACATTCACACACACCGATACCAGACATCACCGTAACCACAGCAACCAATACCACCATGGACACCAGAAGCATGCCCAGCAACACACCTGTGTTACCCTAAAGATGATCATTTTGGAAAAAAACAAATGAGCAAAAACATGAGATATGTTCCAAAAGACTAGAATATAATTTAAATATAGATTCTCTAAACTTAAACTTACCACAAGCCAGCCAGTCCGTAAAAAGAGCACCACCCCAAAAATGTTGATCATGCAGGTAGTGAAGACTCCATCCCAGGTGCCGAAAAGAACGGGTTCCCAGACGAAGAGCTGCACCTTCCACCAAGGTTGAGCGTTACTCTGTGAACCCTACACAAACCAGTGCAACTCAAATCTAAATTCACCATTAATGTTAATTCCACCACCAAGTGTAAAAAACCGTAGGTCCCAAAACATATGGCTTTCCATTTATAGCAAAACTTGTCCATGTATTCATTTTTTTATGGCAAAACTTAAAGAATGGGCATTACCTGTGCGTCTTCATGGAATAATTCTTGAACTTGAGGACTCATTATTCCTCTTTAGCAAGATTACAGTGGCTGGATCTGAGGTAAAGTAAAGCAAAGATTTTGCTCATGTAAATCCAAAGGCAATTTAACAACATTTGCCAACTAGGCGACGGCCACGTAGATGCATTTAAGCCAACAAAAACTGTCTGTTAATAAGTGACACCTTGGGAACTATAATAATCGACAGGCAATTCATATTCAGCATTTAAACAACATTTAAATACAAAGGCAAACAATGTGAAGTTCAATGAAGTTTCCGAGACAAACTTACTGTAGCCTAATTCTGGCTTTGTGTTTTTCTAAGTTATCCAGTGTATATGGCTCGTTGTAAAGTCATAAAGAAACGCAGAGACTAACGGCCCTAAGTAAACGGATAATATGCTGTTTTTGTGACATTGTTCAATTGTACATTTCTTAGTTAATGACAATAGCACACACATACCTGCAATGGTGCTTTGCTCCCGGATGCAACAGCAGGTGGAGAATGTGAGAGACGCACGAGCACACCTGAGTAGGTGGGTGGTCCAACTCATTTCCGTGAATCGGTTCCTTTGAACCGTTCATTTGGAACAACGGTGTCGCGTGGAATAATATTCTTTTTAACATTCTTAATATTCTCCAATATTCTTTTACGTAACCCTTATTCTTGAAAGATGAAATAGTTTTATGAAGTGGTTCAATTGATTCACGAGCTTCCAATCAAAAAGCGATACGTTAACACAGGGTTTTGAAATTGATTAAAGTTAGTTTAAATTGAGTTTGAATGTATTTTTCACAGACCATGACAGTGATTAGCATTTAAAATCAAAATTTTTAACAGAAATGTATCATTATTTAATATAGCTATGCCAGCTGAGTAACTAACAGCTGTCTGTGTGCCACTGTTATTGTTGGAAAATGCTACGTGTGCAATAAACGTCATTAAACAAATATGTTCTATCAGCGCCACCTCAGGTCAGTGTATCTCAATGTTGTCGACTGCTCTATTAGAGCAGGCATTTCCAAATAGACATTTTCTGTGATCATTTCTATAACCAGCTCAGAGACATGTATTATATAAAGTCAGTCTATTAAAATCACTTAAATGTATGCCTACTCTTAATTTTAGCCATGTATCACACTACATAAATGATTTAAAATAATTTTAAAACCCAGCCTACATTTTTGTGAGAGTGATTCTCACAGGTGGAAATGGGCTAATCATGAAACTGTCACAATGGGATGTGGATTAAGACGCAAGGAAATAGCACTCAACAACTTGATGTATTTGGAAATTTAATATTACACAAGATTCACACAATCAAAAACATCCAATCAAAACTTTTTCTCCATGTCTTAGGCAAAGTACTGCATTAAAGTATATTCTATGGGAATAATTCGGCTACAATAAAATGGATACATATAAAAATATAACCAGTGTACAAAGACAGTCAGAGTACATGCACTCCCCAAATAAAATTAAATGTCTAAAACTATTAAGAAGAGCTCTCTTACTAAAACCATTTAGTTTTCCAGACGAATTAAACTTGAAAGAAAACAATCATCCACCATCTGTAACACCACCAGACTTTGATGCTCAAAATACCTAATCAATAAAGAAGAAAAACAGTCATGTGTCAGGATATGGATACGACCTTTTACCAAAGGCAATTGATCTTACAAAAAACATCACACAGTTTATTAAAAGAAGTTCTTCCCTCAAATTATCATTTCACCTTTTTCAATTTCTGGAGCAGTAATTATTGATTCAATATTTATAATGCAGGTATCACATGATATTGAAATGAAAAATAACATCCTAAAAATCTCTGAGGGAGTATGAGATCCATACAAGGTCTTTTAATCAGTTTGTAATAATTAAAACTGCATTCAGAGGCATTTCATAGAGAGGACAGTACATTTGTAATTTTACAAACAAGAACACAAACATGATTTTGCTGATAGTCATCAGGGACCGTAGGAATGATTAAACCGAAATGGCAGCAAATATTTTTAAATCGCGTTGCACTCTCTCTATATACGTACTATGCGCCAAGAAATGTGCACAGCAAATGCACAACTTAAAATATACAACCTATTTACAACATGTAAAAACAAAGGAACATTACAGGAATGTTTAGGCACATAAAATAAACTGTAATCAAAAGCACAGAAAAACTCTTTGACACTCAGAACATGCTGACTATGAAAAAAACACACAGGGCTGCTCTTAAATGGGCCTCATTCACAAAACATGAGCAGAACAAATCTGTGTAAATTGTTCATACAACCATTCAACAATTTAAGAATGTTTTTTTTTTATGATTTACAAAGAAAACCAATGAGTGTAAAGCTTGACATGATACTACTATTATAAATCATAAACCTAAGATTAATCAAGATACAGTTATGGGGGAAAGCAGGTAAATTTCCATAAACAATCTGAGAAAACAGAGCTTTTAATTTACATGATTAATTAAGATAACAAAGAGATATGTGCAATAAACAAATGTTACGTGTACATATACATATAAGTTCAACTGTACCAAACATTACACTTAATTTTTTTGTTCTATAAGTAACAGCGAGTGATCCAAAGACATATTTGCTAACAAATAGGTGTTTTGAAACCAAAAAAAATATGAAATCAGGCCATACATTCTTAAATCATCTTTCTTGAGACTGATTCTTTCTTCACTCAAGACTGATATAGATTATATCAGATTTGTACATTATGAAGAGGAAAGGTGGGACTTGAAAAGTGCTTTTAACCAATGAGCTCAACATCCTATTTAATGAGCAATATTTATCAGTTCATGAGTGAAACTCAAAATAACAGACTGTGAGCAAATGAAATCAAAGTGATGAAATGCACTGTTGAGTCGAGAACTAAATCATTCACAATGATAACAAATGAAAAAGTGCATATCTGTTAGTGCTGTTGCCCTGGACAATTGCTAAAACTGCATCCCCAAAATGTGGGATATGTGAAAAAACTTCTACAGGAGCCTTGTTCTCCATGTCCACCTCACATCTGATTAGCAAGACAGTCTATAACAGTTCTATCTATTGTTTTGATCCCATAACCTTAGGAGAAATGTGCACAAACATTTTTTTTCCTGATTATATAATCTTATTATATAGATTTATGGGCTAGGTCCATATAAACTCAGTATGACCATACCTGCAGATTGCTCAATACAAAATATCTACTAGTAATAGTCTTGGAGTGAATCTTTCAGGGAGCAGTGAATGCAAAAACATATATATATATTTAAAAAAAACATTTCAACATAATTAAATGCACAAACAGATTAAATACATTTAGCTTATAGCGACAGGGACAAGCAATGTTACTTATAACTAATGCAATAGTACATTAAATCACAAACAGGAACAACCGAGAGGTAAGTGCCTTACTCAAGTCTAGGGCATCAAAGTAAGGTCCTTTCAGTACCTCTCTAGGCGACACGTTACAAAATTAATTGAAATCAAAACAACATGATTGTGATGCTACGTTAACGTAGTTTAGACCTATATTATTAGGTCAGTCGGTTGTTGCTCCAGGTCAACACTAACAAGAGGCCAAATCGGAATTGATCTTAGTACAATTTTCTCTCGGGGAAGCCACATTAACCCAATAATTTGGACTACCAAAAAAGCAATGCAGTAGTAGTAGCTTGGATGCTTGATTTCAGAATGCACAGGCTAACTAATTTGGCAAGCCAAAGTGCATTATTGAGCACATTTGTACAGTCATGGCCAAAAGTTGTCAGTGACACAAATTTTCGCAAAGTTTTCTGCTTCAGTTGTGGTGTTGATACACATTGTTTCTAGATTATTGTGATGAGAAAAAGCCAAAGAAAAAGAACATTAAAGGGATACTCCACTTTTTTTTTTTGGAAATAGGCTCATTTTACAACTCCCCCAGAGTTAAACAGTTGGGTTTCTGGTCTCATTGACTTACATAGTTGAGTTTTACCGTTTTCGAATCCATTCAGCCGATTGTCTGATATTTTGAAGAATTTCAGTAACCAGACAGTTTCTGGTCTCATTGACTTCCATAGTAGGAAAAAAAAATACTATGGAAGTCAATGAGACCAGAAACTGTCTGGTTACTGAAATTCTTCAAAATATCAGAAAATCGGCTGAATGGATTCGAAAACGGTAAAACTCAACTGTTTAACTCTGGGGGAGTTGTAAAATGAGCCTATTTCCAAAAAAAGTGGAGTATCCCTTTAAGCCAAACTTCACTGCTTTTTGGCCACAAAATGACCAGCTAACATCAAAAACTAGCTCTATCATTCTGATTGGATTATAAGAGCAGACTGATTGTTATAAAAGGTGGAAAAACTGCCTCAAATCATTGTGTTAGCAATGGTTACCTCCAAAGAAAGACATGCAGCCACCATCGCTTTGCATCAAAATGGCCTTACAGGCAAGGAAATTTCTGCAAAGAACATTGCACCTAAAATAACCACTTACCGGATCATCAAGACCTTCAAGGAGAGAGGTTCACCTGCAGTTAAGAAGGCTTTGGGATGTCCCAGAGTGAATCAACTCATTACTAGTGCAGCGCTTGCTCAGTATTGCCAACAAGTGGGTGTGAGTGTATCTGCAAGTACAGTAAGGTGAAGACTTTTGGACAGAGGCCTGGTGTCAAGAAGGGCAGCAAAGAATTCACTTCTATCCAAGAAAACCATCAATGACAGACTGGAATTCTGCAGGCAGTACAAGGATTGGACTGCAGAAGATTGGTGCACAGTTGTGAAGCCCCCTTCCGACTGTTTTGGACATCTGGTAAATCGATTGTCCGGAAAACACTACTCTGAGTCCTGTGTGATGCCAACAGTGAAGGATCCATGTGTGCGGTAGCTTTTCATCCAAGGGAGAGGGCTGGGCTCTCTCAAAATTATGGCCAGAAACACTGCCAGGAATAAACATTGGTATTAAAACGACCAAGGAGCAATTTGTTGATTATCCATGCATTTTCTTGCATGTCTGGAGCACAATGCCATAAGGTAAGAGTGAAAATGACGTGTCTCAGAGATCATTAGATTGAAATTTTGGATCTGTGGCCAGGCAACTCCTCTAATCCTATAGAGAACCTGTGGTCAATCCTCAAAAGGCAAGTGAACAAGCAAAGGCCCACATTGTTATCGACTCTGAGCACCAGTAAGGCAAGAATGGATAACCATCAGTCAGGATTTGGCCAGAGCGAATTGCAGAAGTTATAAAGATGAATGACTATCTTGTATATATTGAATGTTTTACCAATTAAAGCATTTAAAACTTATTAAATGCTTTTCCAGTAAACCATAGAAACGTGATTAAATAATCTACAAAATACTGAAGCAGCAAACTCAGCAAAACACGAAATTTAGCACTGCCAATTCGTTTGATCATGGCTGTTATGCACAAATAATGCAATGACACATACAAAGTATTCCATAGTCTCCAATAGAAGTGCTGATAATGAAATCTACCATGTGTATCACTACTTTAATTCTCACACGTGCATGATTGCTTAAAGATGGAAAATCATAAGTATTTGCACAGAGATCACATTGCCCTCACTGACAGAACTATAAAGTGCCTTTAAAATGCTTCAAATCGTTAAAAGCTCTTGTTTAGCCAAATGTTTGGCTGCTTGTAGCATCCGGAGATGAAGTTAGTTGAGTTCTTGTTTCATTAACAAGAGAGAACTCTGGAAAGTCTGTTCCACCATGACCTCTCAAGCTAACTTGTCCACTTGCAATGCTAAACTGTGAGGATATTCCAGATCGTGAGCTCGGGAATTGAGATCGAAAGTTCTGGTCGAAAGTAGCGATCTGAAATGTCTGACTGATGCTTTGCGCGTCTGTCTTTTTGGGAGAGGTTACTTGGTCGAGGAAGTCCTCCGTCGGTGAAACCGAGGAAGGGTTCGTCTCGTCCCCTGAAAAGGAAAAGGAGTGTTGGGAATCTACTAAAAGGCTAAAGTTAGGTTTCTCCAAGGTGGATCTCAATGGAGAGTTCATGCTTGGTCTGAACCGGGATGGGGAAGTGAACTGCTTCTCTGTGGAAAACAAAGGCTGGCCAGCAAGACTGGCACTGTCATTTACAAACGTAAGACTCTGGTTGTTCAGGTAGGTGTCGTTCTGACTGGTCCTTTCCAGAGCTTGCTGGAGAAACTTGGAATACTCATGCAGAAGGCTGGCCTTCTCGGCCGGAGGCGCTTGCGAGCTGGTTCCCAAAGCCTCGTTGGGACTGCTCTCATCGGAAGAGTTGATCGAGATGCTGGACGTGACCTCGGTGTCCGCCACGCTGAAGGAAATCTCTGCTTGCCCATTAGCCTTATTGGAGTAGTGATCGAGAAGCGTCTGCAGGACCTCGTCTGGAAGGACATTCTTCTCGCTATTGGACTTGATCTCCACGTTCAGTGTCTGAGTCTCAGAGAGGATCGTGGCGGGAACGGTCTCATCAATGACGCTCGCTACAGCTGCCTGAGTGACGGAGGGCTGCGTCACGATGCTGCTCACGTTAAGAGCATAGTCTCGACTGGTGTTAGCCATGGCCGCCTGGAGGTATCGTTTCTTCTTAAGAAACTGCATGGCGTCGTCATAGTTTGTGCTGCTCCTGGTTGGTTTTGCTTGTCCTCCTTGTAGGGTCTCAACCGAATCCATGTCAGGATTTGTCTCGACATCTAACAGGCCTTTGTTGTCCACAATCTCAAACGTGTATCTCGTTACTTTACTATCTTCGAATGAGGACAAGGGAGAGAGATTCTGGGACGGTTCTAGAGCCTGTTGTTTCAAACCTTTCCTGCTGCCGATTTTCTTCAGCACCAGTTTCGGAGGACTAATTATCTCATCGTTAGACTCCTCCCCTGCAAGATGCCTGTTACCTGGCGGGGAATCGGGGAGCTCAACGGAATAATCTGTAACTACGTACTCGTCCTTCACCTTGGTGGCTACAGCGTAAAGAGGAAGACACTCACTTTTGGCAAGTTGGTCTTCCGTCTTCTCCTCGTTATCACCTTCAACCCCTTTGTCAATAGTGGGACTTGTGAGCAAGACCCGACTTTTATCAGAGGTCTTCTGACGTTTTTTCTTGGGAAGGGTACATTCCTTGGCAGGAAAAGCGAAGCCCAAGCTCTCTGGTGTGCGAAGAGGGCCATCTTTGGCAGCTACTTTCTGCACCTTCCTGTCCTTATTCTCATGGCACATTCGTCTGTGCTTCAGTACTCTGTCAGTTCTGGAAAAAAACTGTTAAGAAAAATGTATAACATTATTTTGCATTCTCTATAATGCATGCTAAAAATTTAACTGCTTAGTATCGAATCTGATTTGCTTTGGACTGCCCTTACCTGATGGCAGTAGTCACACTGGTAAGGCTTCTCCCCACTGTGTGTCCTCTTATGTCTCTCCATGTGGTATTTCTGAATAAATTTCATTCCACACTCATCACAGCGAAATGGTTTTTCTCCTAAGGTGGAGACATGGCAGGCTTTTACACAATATAAAATAAAAATTTAGGAAAGTCAAGTAGGTCTACTTTTCACCCTGTCCGCCAAGTATGCCAAGACTTGTTTTCTCAGTGTATAAAGACGTAGCACAAAACAGGGACTTGCAATAAATATAAATAGATCATTGACTCAGAAGATTTCACTGTACATGTCTAACAATACCCTGGAGCTCAATATAAATGACATTTCTTTTTTGCTCCTGGTGTAATGTTTTTAATTCCTTTCTGCTTACCTGTGTGGATTTTCTCATGCCTCTGAAGCAGGTACTTCTGAATAAAGCGCATGTCACATTGATTGCACTGGAAAGGCTTTTCACCTGCAAAGAAAAAGTATATTTTTGTACACCATTTTGGTCTTTATTTGTCAGTTATTCCCACTGAACCAAGACAATACACCCCTTCACTTACCTGTGTGAATAAAGACATGTCTTTGTAAATGGTAATTTGTCCGAAAAACAGCATTGCAGTGCTCACAGACATGAGTTTTTGGGTTCTGGTGCCCAAGGGAGCCATCTTCATTAATAGTGAGAATCTATCAAGAAGGAATACAGTTCAAAACTACTTTATCTTTCATGCCTGTGCTCCTTCGGAGCATCTATGTCTTTAACACTGTATAGCCCCTTGCACACAGTGCATTGATCCCAGGAAATTGCCAGAACGCCTTCTGTGTGAACGCAAACACGACCCGGGATTGATACTGGCATCGATGCCGGGTTGGGGACCTAGAAACTTTGCCGGAATCAGTCCCGGAACGCGCGTTGTGTGAACAAAAGCCAGGACCAATGCCGTAAGGGGTGTGTCCTAGTGATGACACTCGTGCCATCGCGCGACTCTGTTGCTCTTAGAAGAAAGTTTGTGTTCGTCATCAACAAGGAAAGGACGAACAAATGTCTGCAAACTGGAACGAATCAGAGACCAGGAGCTCCTCACTATCCGTGTTGAAGCGCATGTACATGTTTTCGACGCGTACGTTACACGTCTCATACGGGATATTTACGGGTTGTGTGTGAACGCACTCACAGATCCCGGCAAATCACTGGCGGTGTGAATGAACCGAAATCAAACAATCCCAGGACAAATGCCGGGTCACATTATCCGTGTATTTTCTGGAATCTCTGTGTGAAAGGGGCTTTAAAGTACTAATAGCATATTGTTTTTTTTATCAGTTGCATTATAATAAACCTTTGCAGGGGAGCGCTGCTTTCTCTTCTTTTTTTTGTGACAGTCGGATGGGTCCCTCCCCTGGTTTCTTCTCCTTTTTATTAAGAACCAGTGAGTCTGGTACTTTCATCTCCTGCTTTATACTGACCTAACAAATATCATTAATTCCATTTTAAGTGCTCTTAAAAAAAATAAAAGTAAAATATGATAGGTAGATAGACAGATAGATAAAGCTCGAATGGCTGTACACTTACTGGCATGTTGAGTGTATAATGTATTTTATGGGAGATTCGCTGTGAGAAAGCTGGTTCATCCTGTCCGTCATTTTTCACTGTCTCCTCATGCACCATCAGGTCATTATGGGATATCAGATCATGTGAGGTCAGGCCTCCACCTGCCAGGTCTTCATCATCATCATCGTCATCATCATCCTCAGCCAAAAGGGGATGATTAGCCAAGCTCCGTTCCCCAAGTGTCATATCCAAACTGCCTCTTCTTCCTCTTCCATCCACCCTTGAGGGTCCCAATCCTCTGGATGAGTGGTGAAGTCCCACAGGGCCACATTTCATCAGCATCCCCTCCAGCTTGTCATCAATGTTCATCGCTGAGCAGTTGAGCTGAAGCTACAGGAAGAGACAAGACCAACATAGGGATTCCAATCAGCAGTCTACACGGTTGTGGTCAAAGCACTTCTCCTCCGTCAAACAGACTGAGAGAAACGATGGTCCACGTTCTCCAGCATGTTTTGAGAAATTGGAAATATGTCACATTTTCAAAATTCTAAAACTTTTTTAGGTTTAAGTGATAAAAAAGAGTGGATATTTTTAATGTGGTCTTTAACTTTTAGTTCCCAATGTTGGTCTAACTAATCAAGCAAAAAAACAAAAAAAAACATTTTTATTGAAGAAATTATAATAAACCCAATCTGACTTGACATGTCGTGAACAGTCATTGTCAGAATTGCCACTGAAGCATAAACTAATTTAAAAAGGAAGCATTCTTGCCTTTTAATGTCAGATTCACATTTTGACTTAAAAGACAATTAAGAATAAGATACAGAAAATATTATCGATGTAACTGTAACTGACACTATTGGATGAAACTAAATGTAGCTGAATAATCTTATTCAGTAGAGCTCTTTTATAGATACATTAAAGTGGTTTGTTTCATAATAACATAAGAACTGTTATTGAACTGAATTGAGCTAAATAATGACAAAAATTTTCTTCTGCAGTGCAGAACTGCTTCATAGCTGAAATATAAGTTAATTATTATGTTTAGGTGAAGAAGGAAATAACTGAATAGTAAGTTAGATATGCATCTGGCAGGTCAAGCATCAACCTAGTCTAAATAAAATACAAATAGGAACTGGATCAACGTATGTTTTCAATGGTCCAAAAAGAGTTTAAGCTTTGTGCATGCAAACTTATTCTGATATGTAAAAACTACAAAATGAACTGAAAGTATTTAACTGTTAACCGTGTTTACAGTGTGACACTCACGCACAACACGGGGCTGCCTGTCACAGATACAGCCGAATTCAATTCGAAGTGAGGTTAATAAGACAATTGAATTGTAATAATGGTTTAATGTATCTCAATATATTAATGTAGCGTGTAAAATCGGCCTGATCTCCATCTCTATGCTGCCATTTCATCACGCACACAGAGACCGGACTGCAAACATTTTCACGAATGATGGTCACGCAGACCCTCGCGGATGAAGAGTATACGTACCGCATGTGTTATCAGTGAAGCGCTGGCGGCGGGTTCGAGCCGCTCATGACGTGTTTGTCAAACTTTACTGCGATGCTGAGGCTAGCATGAAAGGCTAGCGAGCTACATTCCATCTGCAGCTGCGCAGCGGTGCATTGTGGGATCGCAGCGGACCCGCTCTAACGAGACTGACGGGTCGGGTTTGCTTACTGTTACAGTAAGCAAAACTCTTTGAAATATATTTAACGCAATACATGTAGCTAATAATAACGGTTTATGTAAATATATCCTATGTATTTATAATCACATCAAGATTTCTCTCGCCCTATCTAATACTTAGTTATTAAAGGAGTAACGTACGTTCACTTAAAAAAAAAAAAAAAAAAAACTTTTTAATTTACTCACCCCATGTCATCCAAGATATCCACGTCTTTCTTTCTTCAGTCGAAAAGAAAAAAAAAAAAGGTTTTTGATGAAAACATTCCAGGATTTCCTCCATATAATGGACTTCATTGGGAACCAAACGGTTCAAGGTCCAAATGAGAGTTTCAGTGCAGCTTCAAAGGGCTTTAAACGACACCAGACGATGAATAAGGGTCTTATCTATGACCCCATGACTCGAAAAAAGATTTGTTCATTTTGATGAACGAGTTTGAACAGGAGAGTCACGAACGCTCATCACAGAACAGAGCAAGGCGAGCATTTCTGCTTATAAACTTAAACTTTTTTATCTTATTTTTTATTTAAATGAGAGATCATTTCGCTAGATAAGACCCTTATTCATCGTCTGGTGTCGTTTAAAGCCTGACTAAAGAAAGAATATGGACATCTTTGGCATGGGGTGAGTAAATTAACAGCAAAAGTTTTTTTTTTAAAGTGAACCACTCCTTTAACTCTCTGCTGTAGCTAAATTACTAAAGTAAGATCTTCCTGAACTTTCAACTTTTCAGACATAAAATGAATTGTTAAAATTCATATTCACTTTATTTTAGGCCCATGTACTTCATGCATTTTATAGCATATAAACACACTTTAACGATAACTATTCAACCTCAACTTTAACAAAAACTTAAAAATAAATCTTGCAGAATCTGGAATCTTATAGAATTCAAAAATGTATTTATTTTTAATTTAATATCAACACTCCCAGTTTCTGTTATTAAAAAGTTTGAAAACTACCAGTGCTAATAATTAATAGGACATATCACATCAAAGGGAACGTTTTTAATATTGTAAAGGATGGAAGACCTTTGAGTAAAAAAAAAAAAAATTAAGAACCATTGCCCTAAAATTATCTTGAAGATGTAATTTTTAGTTAAAACTGTCAATTTGGATAGACAAATAGATAGAAAGGATAAAGGCAGATGTCATGTCTTGCAAATTCAAACAAAACCAATCATCTGCCCATGTCACTTGTATTCAGATAGGTCTGTGAGATCAAGTTGTCTATATAACACACCACTAGAGGGAAACTACAGCCCAGAAACAAATGGAGAAGGAGATTGCTCTTGGGAAAATGGCTGAGGCAGCATTCCTACAATTTTGTCAGCAGTACACTCTGCTGACATCTTAAGTTAAGGTGATGTCTTTTTTTTTTTTTTTTTTTTTTTAAATATGGTAACACTTAAGTTTAGGGTCCAGCTCTCACTATTAACTAGTTGCTTATTAGTACTTATAAACATACATTAATGCTTTATTCTGCATGACCATATTCTACATTACATAATCCTACCCAATACCTACATTTACCTACATTACTAACTATCAATAAGCAGTAATGAGTTTATCGAGGCAGAAAGTTAATTGTTAGTTAATAGTGAGACTCAAACTCAAAATTAAAGTGTGACCCAAAATACTACATTCTCCCATTTAGTGTCAGAGACAACCGACATTCGTAAGTTGACGGATATAAACTTGATTTAACTTTGCCTGTTTAAATAAATTTGGTTTAACAAGGCCTTCCTATGCATCATTATATAAAGAGTACTTCCATTACCACTAAAACTCATTTAATATAAACTGATAATAAACTATAAATTTCATATAAACTGAACTATGATCAAAATGCTGAACTCTCATTAAGATGCATAACACGGTTAAATTTTAATAAAAGTGACATTTAAAAAAAAAAAGACACTCACAACATATGACAACAAGCCCAATGATAATGGAAATGTTTAATTATTTTTATTATTACCATTAGTGTTACACATCAATAAGTTTAACAGTATATACAAATGGTTATCTCCACCCCCCATAACCCCAAAATGAACCAAATGACCAGGGGTCAGGCTGAGTTACACACGCAACTCTAAAACGGGGAAAATTATTATATCCAGCCTTTCCTGTGACCTTCGTATTCCTTTAGCCAGATTTCTATCAAAACATAGACCCACCCACTCATCATAACAGATGACAAATATGGCATTCATAGTGGACAAAGAAAATATGCAGAGTTGAGTTTTGAATAAGACATAAACAGCATATTAATATGTATCAGATGAACTGAACCCTATAAAGGGAGGGGGTAAGTGGTTATAAACAGCTTGGTTTTATGGCAGAATGAAGAGAAAGTCACAAACCAGCATATTATGATGAATTTATGGGACTTTGTTTGCTGTAAGGGCGTTAGGGTAAATTTAGTTTGCGTGTGAATAAGACCAGTTACTTTTCTTTTCGTAGGAAATTTGACTCTCGGTGTCCTCCGCGCCAGGTGATAAAGATCATTTTGCTTGTTGCACAGAAACTGGACATGTTCCAGATGTGGGAGACCACCATTATGGGGAGGGGTGTGTGGGGTATGATAAAAATGGAACTGCTGGATTCGCTGAGAACTTTTTTTCCTCCCAAAACCCACCCTTCTATTTTGCCTTGACAATTTTTAATCTGTGCTTTTGTGTTTTATGGTTAACCGAAGAAGTAAAAAGATAAAGGAAAAGAAAAAAGGAATGATTGTAGCAAACATATTGGCATCAAAAAGCATAAAGATAATTTTAAAAAAAGACAAATTATAAAGAAATCATTCCATAGTTCAAGATGAATCAATCTTAAGTTGTTCTGATTCTGTCTGAAGTGTTAAATCATTAATTGTATGGCAACCGTCACAAACTCTTGTGTAGGTCAAGACTCAAAATAGTGCAGTCACAGATCTAAAATCTGGCCGGTGAACATTGAAATAAAAAAACAGCACCCCCATTCATTTATTATTTGGACTGAAACTGACACTAGTGTATGTCAATATTATTCAATACCTTTTTACACCAGAGCATCTGGTGCAAGAGGCTGACAAAAGTTTAGGATTGAGAGGAAGACTTTAGTCCCCATGGTCAGTCTCTAGGAGTGTGTGCTTCGCTGGATTGACATCTCCAAGGCCTCCTGGTGTTCTGGTTGTCATGTCTGGAACCCTCACATCTTACTGAAGCACTCTTTAGCGTTGTTCCACACTTGAATTCCCTTAAAACAAAACATGATTGTGTTTAAAGGGGTGATGAACTGAGAAATCAAATTTTCCTTGAGCTTTAAACATCTAAGAGGTCATCATATTAGTTTCAGAACTTAAAACGTCCTTATTAGTCCAATAAAAGCTTTTATTGACACCAGCCTCAGCAAACGACTTGTTTTTTAAAGGGTTAGTTCACCCAAAAATGAAAATTAAGTCATTAATTACTCACCCCCATGCTGTACCAACCCCGTAAGACCTTCGTTCGTCTTCGGAACACAAATGAAGATATTTTTGATTAAATTTGAGAGCTGTATCACTACCACATTGGCTCCTAAGGGACTGCCTCTTGACGGCCCAGAAAGTCAATGAAGAAAATGTTTAAATATCCCAAGTGACTACCGTGGCTCAACTATATGTTTATCAAGCGACGCGAATACTTTTTGTGCGAAAAAACAAACAAAAATAACGAGTTTATTCGACTATTTCTTTTCTTCCTTGTAGGCCAGAACGAGACTTCCTTCGATTTCCACGACGCATGCGCGAGATTTGCGATCTGAAGTAGTGTAAGCTGGTGTGAGCAGATCGCAAATCTCGCGCATGCGTCGTGGAAATCTAAGGAAGTCTCGTTCTGGCCTACAAGGAAGAAAAGAAATAGTCGAATAAACTCGTTATTTTTGTTTGTTTTTTCGCACAAAAAGTATTCGCGTCGCTTGATAAACATATAGTTGAGCCACGGTAGTCACATGGGATATTTAAACATTTTCTTCATTGACTTTCTGGGCCGTCAAGAGGCAGTCCCTTAGGAGCCAATGTGGTAGTTATACAGCTCTCAAATTTAATCAAAAATATCTTCATTTGTGTTCCGAAGACGAACGAAGGTCTTACGGGGTTGGTACAGCATGGGGGTGAGTAATTAATGACTTAATTTTCATTTTTGGGTGAACTAACCCTTTAAAGTGGGGAACTATGACGTCAAAGAGGATAAAACACCACCCCCGCAGGAGAAGATCAACCTTCAACACGGCCGGTTTAGCCCCGCCCACCGATTCGCGCATTCACGCATAGCTAAATAACATAGAGGCCTACCTCGTGATGACAAACCGGATCGAGCTACCGAGCAATACAAAATATTGTGCAACGCCTCGCCGTGGAAGAAGACAGTCGCTGCATAAGCTTCCTCTGGATTCCAATAGGACGGCATGGATAAACTTTCTTTTTAATGACGATCCAGCTGATGAGGTAAAACATTGTCCGTCTGTTCGCTTCATTTCACTGAGGATTGTTTTGCGGACCGATTAAGAGTAAAGAACGGTGCTGTGCCGTCTATATTGGACAGGAATTGTGCAACACACGGATCTGGGTCGAACATGTATGGGCGAATTATTCCGGTTGCGTCCGATTGGACGTTTTCAAACAATTTCCCCCAAGTGAGATGAAACTCATTATAAAATGCAAAACTGTTCTCCACTCACAGCAGTGAGCGTTTACTTCCAAGTCTTCAGTGCGAGACGCCCATAAAAACCGAGAGTTTTTCAGCTAGGCTCAAAACTAGGGTAGTAAATAGCCTATTACTTATTCATTTTGATGTTTTTGAATGCAAAAACCAAGCGAACGTCATAAGTTGACCTCAGACAACAATATAATAAAATTTAAAAAGCCAGTTCATGACCCCTTTAATGCTACTTCTGCCTAATAAA